TTGGGGGTAGAGCCATCAGGAGTATTTCATACAATATTTGATGTTGAACATAAAAGAAACAAAAAGAATGTAAATAAATCTACAATTTGGATTCAAATTAAAAAAATCAGTTTCTGTTACATGATTTGGTTTGTTAGGAAAGATTAGGAGTTCCACTTTGGATATAAATTGGAAAAACATATTAGCTGCCAAGTGTGTATAAACCAAAATCCATAGCCACAATCACATAGCAGATTGTGAATCTTGTTGTTGATGTTGTAAGGTGCCATCGAGCTGGCTCCAACCCGTCGCGACCCTATGCCCCGCAGAACGAAACAATGGGCTGCCTGCAGCTTAGAGGGAATGCTGATTGCAAGTCATAGCTGAACACCCCGTTCTCCAAACCCAACACAAAATTAGGTCTCAGTTCTACCCAACCTGTGCGAACAGGTTGAATACCCTCACTGCCAGCAAGGTAAGCAGTGACACCGGTCAGGTAAGCATGAAACAATAAATCAGTCGAGAACAAATGGCCAGCATTGGCCCAGGAATAAGGCGCAGAAGTCAGAAAGGGTTTGGGAAGAATACTGAATGGTTAACACATGGAGAATGAATTGTCCTAGGGAAAAATCTGTTGTGTAAATTTTTATCCAAATCATAATAAAAAGTAACATAAAAGAAGAGAACTGAAATAATCTAGTGAAATACATAGTTTTAGAAAATATGATTAATAATGTAAAGTGATAAAATTTACTATTGGGGATGGATAATTGTCTTAGGAAGTTAGAACATCACAGGAGACTTTTAAGAGCTAATGATCAAAACATCCAAGTTGTTTTAAAACCCAGGGTGTCTCTGAGAGGGTTAAAACCACCACGTTTTTAGCTAATAGTCAAATACTTACTCATTTTTTGTGCATCATGACACCCCACACACATGTAAAATAGCTCACTGTATTCTGAGGTACAAATAACATGCCTGGAATTTCTTTTTTTTTTTTGCCGGGAATTTCTTACCAGAGAAACTTAAACCTCAGTACTAACCAGTTTCAACTAACTTTGCATATTATCACCGTGAATATCAAAATTACCTCTGACATGAGTTAATCAGAATAAGTAAGATAAGAATATATGAAGAATACTACTTCAAGGACAGGCAATTTTCAAGACATCTGCCTTGTGAACTTGAATAAAATTTCACTTGAAAATACCCCTGAAGACCATGTAGCAGACATCAAAGACCAAAAAAATCATATCAGTGGGTGCCCACCTTCCCAATATGATCACTGAAGATAAATGTGTGCATAAGCAAATATGGTGAAGAAAGCTGATGGTGCCCGGCTATCTAAAAAAAATGTCAGCAAAATCTTAAAGGCTTGAAGATAAACAAGCGGCCATCTAGCTCAGAAGTAACAAAGCCCATATGGAAGAAGCACACCGGCCTATGTGACCACGAGGTCTCGAAGGGAACAGGTATCAGGCATCAAAGAACAAAAAATAATATCATTGTAAATGAGGGTGAGTGCAGAGTGGAGATCCAAAGCCCATCTGTAGGCAACTGGACACCTTCTTACTGAAGAGTTGCGGGGAAGAGATGAGCCCCTTAGGGTGCAGGGTAGCAATGATGAAACATATAACCTTCCTTTAGTTCTTAAATGCTTTCTTCCCCCACTATCATGATCCCAATTCTACCTTACTAATCTGGCTAGATCAGAAGTTGTACATTGGTACAGATAGGAACTGGAAACACAGGGAATCCAGGACAGATGACCCCTTCAGGACCAGTGGTGAGAATGGCAATACCTGGAGGGTGGAGGGAAAGTTGGGTAGAAAGGGGGAACTGATTACAAGGATCTACATATAACCTCCTCCCTCAGGGATGGACAACAGAAAAGTGGGTGAAGGCAGACATCGGACAGTGTAATAAGATATGACAAAATAATAATAATTTATGAATTATGAAGGGTTCATGAGGGAGGGGGGCTGGGGAGGAAGGAGGCAAAATGAGGAGTTGATATCAAGGACTCAAGTAGAAAGCAAATGTTTTGAGAATGATGATGGCAACAAATGTACAAATGTGCTTGACACAATGGATGGATGTATGGGTTGTGATAAGAATTGTATGAGGCCCCAATAAAATGATATTTTTAAAAAGAAAGGAAAATAGCCCTGAAAAAAAAAAAAAAAAAAAACAGCCCCAAAAAGATACCGTTCGGATAATTATTTTAGATAAATATTTCATGACACCAATATTATAAAGAAAAAAATTGGTTTCATGTGGGAAACTAACACTGAAGGAAATATGACTTGGACTATATTCCCTAACTTATAACAGAGGGAATCTGTTAGAATACTAGTCACTAGTATTCCACAGTAAGAAAGTCAATACTTTGGTTAAGTCCAAGTGCATTATCCTGCTTTAAATATCATTCCCACAGATTCTCCCCTAACAGCTCTGCTGCCTTAAAGTGAGCACCTGGTTGATTTTATCTCCTACAGAAGCAGACATCCTGTTGCTACCTCTTCCCACCATGTCACCCAGCCCCCGTCACACCTTCCCCCAATGCAGGTATTAGGTTTCCTCACCTGTGAGCTCAGGGACCTTACTGTAGATTCCACCCACTTTGTGATGTATGTAACTACTGCATATGCATGTCTGATGGCTACCTATAAATATCCCAAGATAGTAAAGACTCTTCTCTCACCTCCACATGGACCACCAAGAGGGACTGAGGTGAGTATGCTACCATAAAATGTGTCCGACTCCTTTATTTTACTCTCTCTCCTATCTTTCCTATCCTCTATAACTTTACTATAATCTTTATATTTTGTAACCGTACAATTGCGCCTACTGACCCTTCAGTTGTTAGAGGTTGGTTCCCTCTGACAGTTTCACAGCAAAGGAAAAGATTTTGAAGACTACTAGGAGGCCAGGGGCCATAAGGTAAGGTTGGAGGGGAGGAGGGGCAGAGGAAGGGAAGGGGAGGGAAGGGGAGGGGGAGAGAAAGAAACACACACACAGGGATTTATTGGTATATCATCCTTGTTATGCACCTGTATGTGTTATATTCCACAAATAAAAGAGAAAATAATCATTAAAAATTTTAAGTGAGAGAAGAGTCACACACAAAAAAATCCTTTTGGAGAAAAGATTTTAAAAGTCCAGGTTAAAAGGCCTATGAATGGCTGTAATTGATAACTGAGTTTGACCAACTTTCAACCTATAGGTGGAAGCAAATATCTGCATGGACTACAACTTGCTGGTATAGTGGCATCACTATTTAGTTGTAAGTGTCTCAAATATTAATAATAAGCATTTTCATCATCTAATCATGAAAGTACACTGTATGTATGCATAATTGCTCATGTTTTGCATCTAGATATGCAAATTAGAGCCCTGGTGGCATAGTGAGTGGTTTCCAAGTTGAGCTGCCAACCCCTTTGGTCAGCAGTTCGAAACCACCACCTGTTCCTTCGAGAAAGACGGGGCTTTTTACACCAATAAACAGTTAGTCTCAGAAACTCACAGGGGCAGTTCTTCCCTGTCCTATAGGGTCACTATGAGTCAGTCTTGATTCAACGGCAGTTAGATATGAAAACTCTTCAAAATTGAACCATTTTTCAGAGAACTCTATTGAACTGATTGATAGTAAATTATCGATAAATTTTCAATTATTTATCCTCTTTTAAAACTAGTTTTAATTCTGGATTTTTAAAACTAAAAGGTTATAAAGAAAGGAAAGGAAAAAGACATTTATTAGAATTAATATGCTTATCGTAGTTATTATGATAAAAACTTAATATTCCAGAAACTACAGTACAATATCCTTGATTTTGGTCCTCCTATGAGTTAAAAATTTATCATAAAGACAGAAACCAAGAAATATTTAAGGAGTAGTCGGGTTAGTGTTGGACTGTGAGCTGCAAGTTCCACGTGCAAAGCCCTCATTTCTGTCTGCTTCATACAGTTAAATTCAGTTAACTTTCTCCAAAGGATACAACTCCTTTGACAGAATTAAAACTAACAAAAAAAAAAACATATTAAGTAAAATTTCCATTATAAAAATAAAAGCATTGAGATATACTAAACATGACATTTTCTTGACTATGGAAAAGATTTCAACTCTGTGGATCAGTGTAAAAATTATCTGCCACCATTCTAATTAATAATTTTTCATTTAATGAACTTTCAAAGAGAATCAAATCAAAATATTTTTATAATGTTAAGAGAATTGCATATATGAGTATACAGAGTGCTGGTGGCACTGTGGAATAGTTTTTGGGCTCCTAACCGCAAGTACTGAAGTTCAAACCCACCGGCCTCCCCCTGGGGAAAGATGAAGCTAAGGCTGTCTGCTTCTACAGGGATTGGGTCACAGAAACCTTATTTAGAAGCAGCATTAGTGGAATTTACTTCATGGTAGTGGGATTTTGGTTTATATATGAATACATATATTACATAGATACACATAAACAAATATATAAAACTATTTTTTCAGGATTCTTATAAAAACCAGTACTTATATAAAGTATTAAACTCCAACAACAGCATAAAATGAAGCAATATTTTAAGCTATGCTACTGTAATTTAAAAATATAGATGTCTAGGAAAATAATCCCAGGATACTTAATATAACAACAAAATGCCTATTCCATATTTGGGCATTTTAGTGATGTTAAAAAGATTTCTTCTTCTATTCTTTAAACAATGTTAGTGTGGTATAAAATTTTATACAATTGTGTAATAACTTCCCCAATTTACAGCATAATCCTTATTATTTGGTAGTATAACCAAGAGGATGCTTATAAATATGTTCTCCTCTGACATCTTTCAATATTAATGTTCAATCTAATAATGAGTAAGGTGTTACAGTAAAGAGTTATTCATTTTTTAAAATAGTCATTATATTGTCATAAAGTTGTTTGGGGTATTAAGAAATGAAGTTATTTCTTTCTCATTAATTTTCATAAATAATAGTGATTACATTCCCATCTTAATTCTACAAAACAGAATGTTCTTACCTGATACTACACCAATTCCATCATCACAGTCATAATCAGAAACTTCACTGTCACTTATTCTCTTTGATCCTATGAAGTAAATAACAAGAATTAAAATTGCTGATTATGTGAAAAATAGCAGCCAAAAAATGCTCACCAAGAGGAAACCTAAGTAAAAGGATTCTGAATGAAACACTTCAGAAAACAAGTCATATCTAGAAGAAAACTATCAACACTCATTTTCACACAAATTTCTCGATGTACAGATTTGGGTAACCAAAAAGCTATTTATACATGAATTCTTGAAAGGTATGTGACAAAATTCAAGTTTTAAACTTGAATATTATATGTACATGACTTGCAGCTGATTGATAAAACCTGTTGGAAAACAGTGAAGTCAACTCAAGTCATTGTTAGATACATTTAAATGACTACCTTAGACACCAGATACAATTTTAAACATAGCACCCTGTTAATCTCAAAAGCATTATTCTTTTACTATGCATGGCTAATAAATGTAATGCACATGGCTGATAAATAATACTCAAGAACCCAGAAAAGCAAACACATTGATGACATCACACACTGCATTTTGTATCATTCAGTTGGACCTGTTTCTCTGCTGATTTAAGAAGAAAACGAAAAATATATCACTCACAATATCGATTAAGACATCTAAATTGTAAATTGTGTAATTTTAAATGAAATTGAGTTAGGCACAGGCCATACAGCTTAGGCGATTGCAGAGAAGCTTAAAGAGAAAATGCCACACAGCTGCCAACATTAGCCAATTAGTCACACAAAATAAGTGAATCTTATTTAGAACCTGTCAGAATTGACTTGACAACAGTGGTGGCATCTAAGACTACGAGAATATTATTTTGAAATCTACTTCAATTTTATTTTCCTCCCCAATTTGACTCTATTATGCTTAAGCTATTTCATTACATGAATGCAAATTGAAAACTATTTCAATAGACAGAATATCATTTGATAAAACTTAAAGTCCAATCAATATAAAAGATCTCAGCAAACTATTAATAGAAGGGAAGATGCCCAAACTGATAAAAGGCATCTTAAGAAAATATACAGCTTACATCATACCTTTAGAAAATACTCAATGTTTTCTCCCTAAGACTAAGGACAATCAAGGAGGTTTCCTTCAAACTCATCCATTTGGCTTTATACCACATGTCCTAGACAACGTGATACCACAAGGAAGAAAATGAAAGGAATACAGATTGGGAAACAAGGAATAACATAATTATGTAAGTTGAAAAGTCCTAAGAAAGCTAAAATAAGGTATTAAGTCTAATAAGTAAATTTAGCCACATTGCAGCATACACAAACATGAATTAAACAAAAAATAGCTTGTATAATAAAAACAATTAGAAGCTTACTTTAAAAACGTGTATCATTTCCAGTAATATGAAAATATGACTTGAGAACAATTCAATAAAAATTTGCAAAACATTTATGCCCCCCAAATGAGAAAATACTAATAACAGTAATTATCCCAAATCCAAACCCACTGCTATCCAGTCACTTACAATTCGCATATACTCTGCAGGGCAGAGTCGGGCTGCCCACAGGGCTTCCAAGGCTATAAATCTGTGTGGAAGCCGACTGCCACATCGCTCACAGCCATCAGCAGCGCAGCTGGTCATTTCAAACTGCTGCCCTTCGACTAGCAGTAAGCCTCTAATACTACGTTCCTAGAGATGCTTAAAGAAGCTCTTGTACAGTTGTGATGTGCAGTTATGTATATAGTGGTACTACGTGAATTATTATTGTCCGTACTTGTATTATTAATGAAGGTATTGACTTTGTTTGGAAATCATTTCCTCGTTGGAGACAAAGCATGAATGAAAGAAAACCACAAAACAAACGAACAAAGAAAATGACTTTTCTGCAAAGTTGGAAGCCAAAAATATTGGAACAACAATGTCAGATGACTGAGAATGTCAGTCAACATAGGCTTTTCCATAACAGTGAAACTTCCCATCAAGATTCAATGAGAAATAAATACATATTTACAAAACTAAAGTCTGTCATTTTCATTTCTTCACTGAAGACACTTCTAAAAAAACGAGAAATTTAACCCAGAAGAAAGGAATGAAATGCACACACACGAAAAGACGGCAAGCAAGGAACGTGGTAAAATGTCGGTAAGTCTTAGCAAACATTATCGATACATAAAATGATAATTAAAAACTCCCTGCCAGTGAGTCATTGGTGACTCATAGGACGCCCCCTGTGGGTTTCAGAGACTGTAACTGTTTATAGAGCAGAAAGCCCCGTCTTTCTCCCAAGTAGCTGCTGGGGGTTCTGAATAGCTCTCATAACAAATGGATGGACTTCAAAAAGTTTGTGGAAACATTCCATTATATTTTAATTCTATTTCTAGGTAATTTTAAATGCCTTTTCATATTGCACATAAAGGTTAAATTCTGATCATAACATGCTAGAAAGAAAGAGTGGGCACAGTTAGATTCTAATTACTTATCATTGAGGAAAAAGAGTTGCTAATTAACACTAGATTTTGTCAAGTGTGCATATTAAAATTTTCATTAAATTTTTGATAAAAATCATTGAAAGAATGGAAATCTGAGTGCACAGAATGACATTACTCTCAATGTTATAAAATGAAAAAAATCTACATGCATTTCTTTATATATGCATAACATCTGCAAAAATATAGTAGTAGCATAATTCATTTGAACATGTTTGAGGAAAAGGAGTGGGAAATTTAGCAACATATTCTTTTGAATTTAAACCACAAGCATGTTATGTAATTCATAAGATTTTAGTACAATATTTGTACATTAAAAAGAACATATATTCTGTACTGCATGGGAGAACGCGTATTCATTGGTCCACAGCCTCTCCTCTCCTCGGCCGGTAGCACAGTCTCTCCCTGATCCTCAGCCGGTCAGCCTCACAGTCCCCAGGCTTCTGCTTCTGTGGGCTTCACTATGGGCCCAGGTCTTCAGGGCAGGCAGAGGCCCTCAGCTCTGTCTCAGCAAGGCTCCTGTGCTTTGTCCACGGTCTCCTTGCCCTAGGCTTGGTGCCTCTGACCTTACCCTCCACCACTGCAGACAGGGATCTCGAAAGTGCAGGGGTTCTTCTTTGATGGTCCTGGACTCTCCCTCTTCCTGCTCCTGGTGCAGCGCTGTTATAAAATGGAGAGGGCAACTAAGAGCAACCAATCCCCTCTCTTGGTATTTTCACAAGCCCTAAATGGTTGGTCTCCCCAGTCACTTGGGAGTTAGAGAGACATCAATCAAGGAGCCGTATTAAGAAATTTCACTCCACTACAATAGCGAAAAGATAAAACCCAGATGCACAGCTATCCTGATTTAAACCCATGCAGTTTTCCCTTGTACTGTTGAATGACTGCTTCTTGGACTACCGTATATACTCGAGTATAAGACAACCCGCATATCAGCCAAGGTACCTAATTTTACCACAAAAACTGTATTAAAAATGTGTTGAAGAACTTGGCTTACACACAAGTAGATACAGTATTTAAATTTAAGGTGGAGACGAAAGGTTAGTTCAGAAGATTATAGAAACTGTGGGGTTTTTTTTGGGGGGGTGGAGTAGTGTCGGGGGGTAAAGTGATAATCTTGATAGATCTTTGAAAAAATTACAGGACAATCAAAGGGGCTTATTAAGAAAAAGACAAAAAAGTTATTGCTTGATGGCTACCAAGGACCCACTGTAGATGACAGGCCTGTTGGTCTGCTTCCCAAAGGACCCGGTATACAAAGTCCTGGGCCGCAGTTCTACTTCGGAGATAGTCACCAGGAGTTAGAATCAACTCAATGGCAATGGACAACAGCCATCAAAGCCGACCAGCCAAGGAAACGTCAGCCTGGATTTTCCACCCAGGAGCCACACCTAGGCCCCTTTTCTGGGCAATAGGAAGGGCCTCGTCCCTGAAATGGGGGCGGACGCACTGTTCTACGTCAGCCTGTCTGCACCCAGGCATGAAATAAACTTTGCTGTTGGTAAACAACCCCCACCCCCACCCCCCGAAACAAGAAAGAAAGTGGAAAATGATGTTCACGAGGACAAAGCAAGGGAAGCGGTTCTGAGGAATTATTTTTTCCCAATCAGAGCAGCGCCCCTGCTGACTTTGAGGTGATTAAGGGCTATCGTAGGAGAATTTTGTTTGGAAACTTTACCTCATCCACCCTACAGTCCTCAAATTGCCCCTTCAGGCTTGGTTTTGTTCTGAAACTTAGAGCAGATCTTGAAAGACATGATTTGAGTCCCTGAAAGATGCCAAGATTGTCATTTTGAGGTGATACAGCAATACATCTACAGCAATAGTTTCAGACCTAACCTCACACGAGTCGTTTTTGGATCATAGTTTCCCATAGTTGCAACTGTTGCCAGTCTCCCTTGGAAAGCTGTTGATAGTTTGAAGCGATGACTTTAGGGACATCTCAATAAATCTACAAAGGTCTGGTCAAGTTATGCCAAAGTAAGTGAAAAAGGGAAATAACAAAGACATAAAATTCAAACTAGAAACAATAAAGAAAAATCAATGGAACCAAAAGCTTTTCCCTGAAAAGATTTGTAAAATTGGCATACACCAAACCATACTGATCAAGAAAAAGAAACTCCACAAAGAGCGCATAAGCATCGACACCTAAGGTATGAGGCTATGTATTCACAAAAAGATTTGCACAGTATTCAGAGCAGCGTTATTATTCTGAGATTAAATGAACAAATAGCTATTCATCCATATAATGGAATATTACTCAACAATAAAAAATGAATTAAGTGTTGATAGATGTAAAAACAAAGATGATTTTCAACATCATTATGCTGAGCAAATAATAACAGATAAAAACTAACGCATTCTCAATGACTCGGTTTCAATAAAAAACAAAAACTTCTTACTTTAAGAAGTCAATCTATAGCAATAGATATTGGATCCGTGATTCCTGAAACCACAGGTGGGGATGGTGGGTAAGTGGGAAGAGTCTAACGGAACTTTTTTGAAGAGGAATAAATTCCACAGTGTGTGAAGGTCAGTGTTGTTGTCAGGTGCCATCAACTCAGTTCTGACCCGTAAC